TGGCACACATTCGCCACGTAAAATGGCACAGGTTACCGTTACCAAAGCTGTGTTGCATGCAACACTGACAAGTTGATGTTTACAAAAATTGCAACGAAAATAAAAAAAAATTTAATGCAATTGCAAATTTTTTTCTTTGTGCAATTGACGAAATAATATTATTTTTAATATAATTTTTATATAATTAATATAATTTTTTAACAAGCGCGTTCAATTGAATTTCTAATCAACAGTTGACTGACAGGTTATGTTTTGTGTATTTGATTGAGTTGATTTATATTTAAGATGGAAGACATCTTTTTTACCAGACTGAGCGGGAAATTTTGTAGGCCATTAAAAACAATTTTTTTTATGTGTGAAAGCTAGTTAATCGCTTAGGCATAACAGTTCCTGGCATATTAACACTGATTGTTAATTGAATTTTGCTACTTAATAGAAATGACTACAAACATTATAATAATATAATCAAAATTTTAGTAAAGAACTTGTAGCAATTAACCTATGTACAAAAATACCCGTACTTTTGAAATTTATATATCTTGATTCCAACAAAACTAAAATATTGCTTACTACCTACCACCTATCGAATATATAACAAAGAAATTTTTTTTGGGCCCAAACATACGTACATATTTTTTTTATATTCTATGTTTTTTATATGTCTACACTGCCGAGTGTGTTGAACTTGCCCCTGCATAACATATATATGAGTGTTCATAATTATAATTATATGTATATTTTACATCTCTTTCATGTATGGAGGTCTTATATTCTTTGTATAATCCCGAATGTATTCCATGTATACAAAATTTTGGGTGTTGGCACAAAGATTCAATAAAAGAACAATTAAATAATATGAAAATAATATTCATATTTTAATATGAATATAAAAATATTATATTAAATGGATTTTTTCTAGAAAACAATTACTGTAACCTCATATAACACGGTAGATTGGTTCCGCGTTATAGGGTAACGCGTTATAGGGATATTCCCGTATACCCCGTATACACACGTGTAAAGGTATGCGAAGCTTATTATGAACTCTACAAATCCCCGCGTTATATGGGAGAATACCCATGTTATACAGAGAATTGAAATCAAGTTATCTGAAAATGCGTTATAAGGGTACCGCTTTATAGGGGGGATTACTGTATTCGATTCTATTATAAACAAAGTCTAAATCGAAAATTCCAATTGACAGTACCGAATGAAGCAAACGAAAAGGTTGTTAAAGCACTGTTACATTTATATAAATAAAAAATTATTATATTCTACTTCTTAACTTCAATATCCTGTTGTTTATCTTATTTTTAATTGGATTTACAAGTTCATGTTTGACCTAAATCCTCTATCAAGTCCTTGAAAATCCACTCTTTAGCCCGTTACTCAAAAAACAAGCAACCAACGAACAAGCAAATCAGTTTAATTAGCAAATGTCAAAGTACTAAAATCATAGTAGCAATATAAAAACTTATAAAAGTTGTATATAGTTATATATGTAAAAATGTATAAACTTAATTATACAAGTAAGAAAATAATGAATAGTTGCAATATAAAAAACAAACTTAAGTTTCTGCACAAACTTGGTCTGTTACTGTAAAACATGTTAGACTTAGATTTACTTACGGGTTTATAGAAAAGTTGAAATGGTAAGCATTTCATTTTACCTTGAATAGATGCAGAAGCTTGCGCACCATTGCTCAAACATAGCCACACAGTCAGAGAGCTACATAAGCCAGAGCAGTGCCACTTGATGACCATGATCTTGGCCAAAAATGGCAGCTGGAAAAACTGCTTTTGTTATCAACTTGAAGTCAGCAGCTGCGGATGCAGTGCAACTCCCAGGTAAAGCGTTTCTCATAAAAGCTGTCATTACTTTTATCAATGGATTTGTATGGCTCTTTGCTTTTGAAGACTCACGAACTGGTAGCTTTGAAATGATTTTTTTGACTGGTAACTTTGATATGAAAATATGCAGTCCCCACCGAACGGTATTTAAGCCATGCATCTGCTTTTACAAAAAGAAGACACGTTAGGAACCGTCGTAGACATTAATCATGTCCGGCATTATTGCGGCTGCATGACACTTAATTAAACTGTTTACGTTGAGATTTTATTGTTGTTTTATGCTTACTTTTAATGAAAAAGAAATGGTTTACCAGAAAAACTCCGTCTTATTAGCCATAAATCTTATATTAGCCTTCCATTGTTTAATGTATGAATAGTTTTTTTTTGTGAAACTGCAAGTGAGAATTGTAAATGTGAAAGATTTAGTCACTATGATTATGACAGAACATTGCCTGGGAAATTTCAATTGATTTATTATTTAGTATAATTATACGGAAAGGCAAATTAAAAAACATTAAAAACTAGTCAAAAGAAATCTAATTATAAAATCTATACAAGCGAAAAAGAAAAAGAATTCTTTCATTTATATTGTTTTATAACTAAACCATTTAGAATATCATTTCAAAACTTAAGTGGAATTTAACTGGAAAAGATCGCGTTAAGTTAAACTTCTAAAGAAAATGAATAAATCTTACTTATGGCTTATACTAGAGAAATTTCGAGCCTACTTATAACAAACTGGGTTTAACAAAGATTTGTATATATATTAATATCTACTTAAATTTTTTAAGTTACTAATTTTGATAAACTTAAATTTGAATTATTAAGATTCAGAAAAATCATTCATCGATAAAATAAATATACCTTCTATAGAAGATACTCGTATTACATTAATCAGAAATTAAAAAAAAGGGGATACTAAAACATATTTTAAACGTATAGGTATGTACATTTATGGTAGCACATTCTAATACGAATTTTAAGAATTTCTCTGTAGTTGCAATAGAAGGATATGTCTAAAGTCTACTCCCAACCCAGCTATTCTAAAGAGCAAGTTGTGAATCTCTACGAAATATTGTATTAATAACACTGTGCGACAGTACATTCTCTTTTTTGATTGTGTAATATTAATTTAAAGCTGCTGAGTTCTGCAGCAGATCTGTAACCGATTTTTTCCTTAACATCTAACTCTCTGGCAATAGTGAGTTAAAGTTCAAAAACTGAGGTGTAAAAAATATCAATACAAATATTTTTATTAAAAATGATATATAATAATGATAAATAATGAACATGATCGCAGTTCCTAACTGGTATTATTAACGATTCATTGGTCCTTACTTATCATAACAAATGTAAATCAATAATTACAATAAAAACTGGATAAGAAATTGCGACAGTTAATGGATCGATAACAGTTTAAAAATATGACCGGTTATGGGAAAATAACAGTTTCGATATCTGCTCATTGAAAGTTATAGTTAAGTTATAAAACAGCAACGGATTAAAACTATAATTTTATTCAGTAATCTGCAATTATGTGATTGTGATTTTAGTATAAAGTTTGCAAATAGGAAATAGAGAAGAGAAGTTTCCCGGTTTCTAATTACAATAGACTTTAATAAACACTCAATATAATGAACTCTTCAAATAATGAATGATCAAATACTATCAACTCAAATAGCTATCATATAAAAATTGTCTAACTGCTCTTAGAGTGTATTTTAGTTTCAAGTGGTATCAGTCTTATAATGGAATTGGTGTCGGCTTACTGTTTCTAGAAAACTAGGAAATTGTATATTTCCTTCACAGACTCTTACCACAAAAGTTAGAAAGATATCATCGTTCAGCTTATGAGTAAAAATGTTAGGCATTCACATTATACATGATCTAAGGCAGATGTCTGATCACCCCTTAGAGAATATTTTAAACTCGAAAGATAACAGTATTTTAATGCGAATAGTGAATGTTCAATACCGTATAAAAAACTTATGGAGTATCTTAGGTATGAAATTGCATAAGCCCTTTTACTGACAGCCTCTTTTTTCTGATTAGGAACCTATTATTATACAACTCATGAGTAGGTAGGAGTCAGTCGTTGACTTTGCAAAGAATATTAGTTACGTGTCTGATTACCCCTTAGAGAGTATCTTTGATTTAAAACATGACAGTCTTGTGGTGGACTGATGATTGTTTACTACTGCTTAGAAAACTAGAATATTGTATATTTTCTTCAATGACTCATGCTACAACAATGAAGAACACATCATTTTCCACCTTATAGTAACATATGGGATGTATGGGATGTTAGTTAGTTGTGTGACTGCCCCTAAGCATGTACATATGTTGTGTTTGGTTTAAAGATATCAGTTTTATTCGCTGCTGCTTAGAAAATCAGGAGAGTATCTTTGGTTTCAAATAGGTTTAAAGTTTCTGTCAGACTGTCCCTTGAAGAGTATCTAAGGCTTGAAATGGATTTAGTCTGAGGTTAGTATGATAAGTGGATTTCTAGAATCAATAATATGATCTAATCTAATTTACTGACTTCCTCAAACCTTAACAGTTATTTTTTCACTTATAATTCAATATATTTTTAAAAACTATTAATTATTTTTTAGTAAAAGAAATTATTACTGTTATTTAAAATTTAATTTATAAATTTTTTAATTTAAGAAATCATTTTTATTTTCATTCCAAATGTATTAATCGCACCATTTACCACCGCTGATATCGCCAAGAAAGCAAACATAACAGTAAAGTAAGTTTAATTGGCCAAGTTACTCCAGTATGACCAACTGAATTAGCCACACTTGAATTATTAAGTACTCGCATAAATAAACAAACTATGAATATAGACAGATGATATATGTACGTATGTATGTGTGTATGTGTCAGTAGCCAAGTTTTGTAAGCAAAAACAAAAAAAAATTAATTTGAAAATCTCATAAATTTCCAGAATTTCAAACAAGTGCCAAATACTATACGCCGGACACCGCACACCACACACCACACACCGCACACCGCATACTGCAGAGTGGCACACTTGC